GGAGTACTGGTCACTTGGATTCTTGTTAACAGCATAAGGGTTAAGGTTGCATAGCAGTCCAGAATGGGGCCAACCTTTTTCTTCACGAACTCTAACACAGAGTATTGCTGAAGAGGGTCATGTCCATCAGATGTTCCGCCCTTACTTTCAGTGGTTCATCAAGTCAGAAGACCAAATACTGAATGTAATAAGCAGCATAATCTTGGTCATGGAGTTTGTCAATTTCTTTAGACCTGCACACCACCGCAACGCTAATCTACTACGAAGTGATGATGTGTCTTCAATCGGTGAGGAAACAGCAGCAGTGAGTGAAGACTGCAGTTGACCCCAACCTAGCTAGTTCTCTGAGGGGGAGGGGAACGACTGGAATAACACATCCGCTTCCAAAGCTGTTGGTACTGAGGAGATCAACGTGTGTTGTTCTTTGGACAAACATTGTTAAGGGGACTGTGATGCGCAGAATTTGTCCCGTATGAGCTGATTATGTTTGCTACTTTTCATATTCTGTTTACAAAGTTACGTGCATGTCCGAATAGTGTAGGTTGTCCAACAATCTTTTCTGTTTTGATTTCCTTGCGCCTGAATGACTTTCCATTGCTCTCACGTAAGCAAGACCTCGGTAACGAAAAAATTATTAGTGGAATAACTGGATGTACATTCATCAGTGTACGATATCGTGGATTATACTGAGCGGTTTAAAAGATATGACTGATCTGAGCGCTCAGATGATTAATGGTACGATATCTTATACTGAGCGGTTTAAAAGATATGACTGATCTGAGCGCTCAGTGATTAATGACCCAAAGCATCCATCTATCTGTTATCTTATCGCTATGTGTAGAGCCTCCAATGTCGATACTGGCCAAGTAGATATACCGACCACTATGGGCTTTAGAGCAAACAGAGAGACGGAGGATAAAATATCCCATTTAGAAAAACAAATACAAGAACTCAGCGAGCTTCTGCTGCCCCTAGTTAACCAGACAACTGATGTAAAATCAGCGAAGGCATCTAGGTCAATGGCAGACGCTGCTTGCACTCCGAGGACTGTTGAGGAAACCAGACCAAACAGCACCAAGACAAAAAAGACGAATGTTACTGAACCTGAGCCAGCGGAACTCAACAGTATACACAAGAACATGGGAATTGTCGGTTGCCCCGCATCGAAGGTTACCGACCATACTAGGAAACTGAAACCGAAACCTAAACTAAGCGTAATATGCACTAATATCAAGGAGCCAAGCGACTCACTATTATCGGCTAAGCATAAGCACGATATGGAAGAATGGTTAAAGCTGTGCAATCGAATACAGCTTGATCCCATCGAACCAGTCTCGCTGACTCGCCTGAGCCGACCGCCGAAATCGCATCATCAAGACAAACCCAGACTTCTCAGAGTAACTGTTAAGACAGAAAAAGAATTAGAAAATATACTGTTGTCAGCATTTCGACTCCAGAGCGATTCGGAAAATAGCGCGCGAGTTCATGCTGACGTACCATGGACAGAACGATCTCGTAATGTCGAAAATCAAGCGACTAATAATCGTGCTGATGATCGGAGCTTGATCATTCTGGGTGTCCCTGAGATTGACGATGCCTCCGATAAAACGGCACGCATTTCACATGACGTTCTACAGTGGAAGTTTCTGAGTAGTACGCTCGAAACGGAAGAGGTGGCAGTAGTTGATGCTTTCAGAATTCCTAAATCGGAAAAATACATGGGAAACGGCCCTAGACCCTTAAAGCTGACATTTCTTCGTGCCGAAATGGCCAACTTGGTGAAAGCTCAGTGGCGAAGGCACCGTAATTTGCTTCCGAGGGAACTGAGAATAAGCTCACCTAAACGCTCAAACGCATCTGCTGATACGATTCGGACTGGCGAAATAGGAACTATTCAAACGCAAACGATCACTGATGAATACCAACAAACCACGGTTGGTATTCAGACTATGATGGAAAAATTGGGGTCAAAAAACGATTTACCAAAAAACGAATCACTGCTGGCTCCCCGGGAGTCGTGCGTTGCAGCACAGCAGAATTAACCACAACGACTAGCCTTAAGTGCCTCTATACAAATACCCAATGTCTGCCCAGTAAAGTGGCAGAATTAAACGCCTTTTGCGACCAATACAAACCTCACTTGGTGGCAGTGACTGAGACTTGGTTGCAAGCGGAAATATCGGACAAGGAAATCGAAATTACAAACATGAGTGTTATACGACACGATCGAGCCACCCATGGCGGTGGAGTTGCACTATATTATGACAGTAGTCTTCAATGTGCTGAAATACCTGACGCTAATCTCATCCTTGAAGATACCCTCTGGTGTATGCTGAAGTCAAACAAGATAGATGCGTGCATTATTGGTGTCATTTACCGCTCTCCAACCGCAATGGACACTCACACATTCAGTATATGTGACCGAATCCGTCGCGTATGCTCTTACTACTCCATTCCCATTCTCATTATGGGTGATTTCAATTTTCCCCAGCTTTTCGTCGCTTCATACTCGCTCAACTCAGTTGAAGCACACTTTCAGGAGCTGTTAGATTTGGTACCTTTATTCAACCATGTTAACGAATGTACGAGGTTTCGTGGAACAGATCAACCTTCGTTACTTGACCTTATACTAACTAGTGAGCCATTTATGGTTGAACAAATCATATATAGACCACCACTGGGAAAGAGCGACCATCTCGTGCTCTTGTTCGATTTCACTTGCTCCTCCGTACGTTTAAGCGACCCACATAAATATGTTCTGAAGACCAATTTTCGGGAGATAATCTCAGCCTTCCAGGACCTAAATATGCTGGATGACGAACACGAAAATACTAATAGGCGATGGAAATCATTCATAGCCCAGCTGCAGACCTTGATTGCAGACAATTCGACAGAGGTGCCTCGAGCCACCTGCGTACAGATGTTCACAGTGAGGAGTCGAACAAGAAAATGGATTACAGAACGTAACATCGCTTGGTTTCAATATAAAACGAACCGGACCGACGAACACTGGGAGTCGTACCGAAAGTTGCGGAATAAAGTCACGTCACTAATCAAGGAAGACAAACTACAACAGCAATTCAAATTGATGACTAGGATGGAGAAAAACCCCAAACTATTGTATCAATTCGTGAATGCGCAGGCTAAAGTTAAACCAGGTATATCTGCCATAAAGACAGAATCGGGAATGACTGCAAATGCGTTTGAAACAGCTAATGCCCTTGCCACATTTTATGCTTCCGTGTTTTCTCCTGAAGATACCCGCGCTCCTATACAAACTGTGGAGGTACTAACGGACGAAACTTTATCGGACGTGCATATTGATCGGGCTAACATTGTCAAACACCTTCGCGGCTTACAGGTACACACTTCACCTGGTGGGGATGGCGTTACACCACTGCTTCTGCGCCACTGCGCTGAACCACTTAGCTATCCTCTGGCTAAACTGTTCGCTAGTTCTCTGGAAGAAGGGTTGGTACCAGAGGATTGGAAATGCGGGATAATAGCCCCCATATTCAAAGGAGGTATCAGAACGTGTGCATCTAACTACAGACCTGTCACTCTTCTCCCAGTAATATCAAAAGTAATGGAACGAATTATAGCAGAAGCCCTGAAATCGCACCTTGAAATTCACTCCTTGTTGAGCGATAAACAACACGGATTTCGACAGAATCGTTCTTGTTTATCCAATCTCCTCGTGACACTCGATGACTGGACACGAGCAGTCGATGCGGGAGTTACTGTACATGCCTGTTACTTGGATATATCCAAAGCCTTTGATCGAGTCGATCACAGTATCCTTCTTCGGAAACTTGAAATGTATGGCGTGACGGGAAATCTGTTGAGCTGGCTGAAAGACTATTTGAGTGACCGTTCGGTCCAAGTTCGTGTCGATGGAGCGTTTTCCGATAAAATTGCCGCCACAAGTGGTGTCCCTCAGGGTTCGGTTCTTGGTCCAATTTTGTTCCTGGTATACATGAATGACCTGCCGAAACTTCTGCAGTGCAAAACCGTACTTTTTGCTGATGACATAAAAATCTGGTCTGAAATTCATGGAAAGGCTGATTGTGATGCGCTACAGCAAGATCTGCAAAGAATCGACGAATGGTCCATCCAAAACCGGCTGCCGCTGAATTTCCAGAAATGCAAACTCATAAATCTGGGGAAGAGCTACCACTTCCCATACAAACTGGGATCCAATGAACTGGAATGGGTGGCTGAGGAAAAAGACCTCGGCGTCTGGATTTCTAGCAACCTGAAGCCGAGTAAACACTGTCTATCAGTATATCGCAAGACCTCGGCACTGCTCGGGATGCTTAGGAGAATATTTTATCGTTTTACGCCTGAAATTCTCCCTATTATCATGAACACATATCTCCGGCCGACAATGGAATACGCGATCCAAGCCTGGTCTCCATGGCTGCAAAAGGATACACAACTGCTAGAGCGTATCTACCACCGCGCGACCAAGCTGGTCATTGGCCTCCGAAACGTTCCCTACAGTGAAAGGCTACGTAAACTCGATTTGTTTGATTTAACTTATCGGCGTATACGAGGAGACCTCATCCTGATGTTCAAGATAATAAACACCCCTAATCACCCTTTAAAACATTTGTTCACAGTTAATTTGGCCCGACAGACCCGACGGAATCCATTGGCCGTTGACATTCCATGTTCCCGCATTAACTGTCGGCGCTACTTTTTTTCAGTCCGCGTATCCCTCACGTGGAACAAACTACCAACATCTGTTGTGGATTGTGGTAACCTCGAGACTTTCAAACATTCGCTTGACGAATACATAAGATCTCACCCAACTTCCCTCATCAACATTTGAGATGCAGATTACAAACAATAGAACATATATGTCATATCATTCCGTTTATCTGTATACATACACACACACCAATATCCTTTGGTCATTGTAAAGCAAAATGCTTTTTAGACCAATATAACCTTGATCTACCTTGATTTACGGAGGGCATGAATGTTTACTCTTTTAAATGCATCGGAAAGGAGGTGTGTTCCTCGTTGAAAAAAATTGTCATTCCCTGAAGATCCCTTTGATATTGAATTTTCCGAACTGAAAAGATAACCTCAACAGCCATTGAATTTACAAGCGACGGAATTAGTTCTGGAAAAATTCAGAATATACATTATTTCCTTCTTGTGCTCCAGACGACCATTTAACTTCAGGATCGCCCAACCGCCCTATCAATCTACCAGAAGTACAAAGCAAACTGGTGAAACACCCATATACAGGTCGATGAATATAAGTCATATCCTTCGTTTGTGACATTCTTAGACTGAATATGTCGCACAAAGGACGCCTCCCGTTGTAGTTTGCACGATTTCAGTAAACGGGTGGTAGGCGCCGGTCAGGAGTTGAATATATATCCAAGATATCAAAGCATCTTTTCTTGACGCAGCACTGCCTTATGAGTAGTCTTGCGTCAACAAAAATACATCGCAAACCGTCATTATTTCAGACATCTACGTTAGGATTTGTAGGTTCAGTGTGTGAATATCTATTCCGCGGTGCCATAGACTGGGCAGAATTTTGTAATGAGAAGATCAACTAATGGGCCATACTCCTCGCAGTTGTTTTGATGTCAAATTCGAGCGTAATGAACGTGTCGAAGTTGAAGTAAGGCATTAGGTGTTCATTATATAGCGAATCGCGTTTATGATGGCTCTGTCGCTTTTGAAACACTGCGTGCTACAAATGTCAAGGCAATGGGCGAATAAAGGCAAAGTATCGTTCCTCAGTCTTCTGATGCACAGATAATTGGCACCAGTAACCGGAAGAAATTTAGGAACTGAGTGATTCTGTTAAGTATTTTACCTTTGGTAGTAGCGGGCCATTCAAACAATGTGTATCAGCTTGTTCATACTACCAAAGGTCACTTAATGAAGTCCACCATTGATTCCCACCAACAGTAAGCAGTCGTAGAGTCTCTGTTACTTCCTATCCTAGCATGCCACGCGAACATTATCACTGTTGTAATTACTGAGCATACGTGGGCATTTCAATAACAACTCACAAGATTCGAACCGTATATGTGAGTTTCTTTTATCGGAACCCTACTCATACCGATGTTCACTGCAATACAAACTACGCACATAAATAAATATTTGGTTTCCAAGTATACAGTACACCAGGAAATGCGATTGTTGCACTGACATCTCCAGTGTTCTTTAGTGGGTCACAGAGGCACAAGAAATGTTACATCGCGGCGAGGTAGTCTCTTCGAAACAGGAACTCCCGACACTTACAACCAGCAGTGCGTGAATTTAAGAATCGAGTTACAATTAAGAAATCAGACAACTGTTGAGCAAGCACCGTAGGTGAAAATGCTAAGAATGTTGGCGCTGCTCTAGCAGGCAATATGGTGTGGGGACTCTCGATGGAACCTCTTTCCTACTGCATTCTTGCTTGTTTCTCACGGGTCCAGGTTTCGGATTTTAAAAACAAGGAAAGCCCTACCATTTTTTATCATTCTTTAACAGGGACCATGTAGATCCTACCTATTTTTTCCATTTGGGTATCAGTACGGCCAAAAGGGTCGATACAAATTCAGGGATAATACTTGTGTGACATGAAGATTTATGGCTTCAAGTCGTCCAAAATGAGGCCAAACAATGTACTATGACTGTTAATGACAGGAGCAGCCTCTCATAAGCTTCTCCCCTTCTTCACGGCGAGCTTGACTCCCTGATCATCTCATGAAAGTCAAGATGATGTGCATTGAACTTCCGACCTTGCATCTGGACTAGATTTTAGAACACTTCCAACGTTTGCCTAAACTACGTGTGCTAGTCCCAATGTACCGTTAGAGGTGGGCAATCGGTTCCTTTTGGTTCCAACTTGTATCTGAGACCGCTCAAATGTGCATGTGCTGGTAGAATTAATGCAGGAGGTTTTACCTCATCAGTTTGAAATTAAAAATCGCACCCCCTGAAGAGCACATATCGATATCCGCCACATGTGATTATTTTCGTCCGAGTTGATATGTGGGTTTCCTACCGTTTCCCTTGGTTCATAATCCGCTTGCTTTTGGTGTATGCGTGCAGGTCTTCAAGCTGCGCAAAGGAAATTCGCATTTAGTGCTTCACGTGACGTTTGGTTTCGTGTTAGAACGGTTGTTCATAGTATCTATAAGGCCCTGTGATTTCGACCTCGTGTTGTTTACGTGGGCCCAAATATTGAGTTTGCATCGCGTAAGGGCCCCGAAGTTGCGTTTGAGTTAAGTATTTAAACGACCTTTGTCCTTCAGAGAGAGCTTGAGTACCAGTTGATAGAACAGGCGAAATCCCGGATTTTCGCTTTTGATTACTATTCTTGAAAGTGTCACCGTAGAGCTAAGCTGTTCACATCAGACTAAGGATCCTACTGGGTTTGTTGGCATCCTATTGCTCCCCACAAATTAAAGTCATTGAGCCAAAAACATGGCGAACTAAGCTGGTGTGGCGGAAAATTATGTACACTCTGAACAACCTTGGGCAGTGAATAGCTTTTTGCGGGACTGTCAGTATCTTTTTCCGCTTTCGATATTGCGCCCTTAGTTCTTATGAGTCAATGTATTTTGTTTGAGTTTCCCATCCTTTTGGGCTTAATTTATCCAAAGTTGGTGTAGGTTTTGTCGATTTAGGGCACTATCCACATTGTCAAACGCTTTGCTTAGGTCAAAAACGCAGTGAAAATTGCCAACCGAGACTACCTATTTGTGAGGAACGTTTCAATATGGGAGTTGATGTACCCTTTCCTAGGTAACCCGAAGACCCAGTAGTATAACTAGAGGGTGTATTACGTCCTTCGGTAGTACCATAAAACAGAACTCGTGGATAAGTGACAAAGTTCCATCCATTTTCCCTCTGCGTATGAGTTAAAAGCTGACTGTAGATTGAAGGCAACGGCATCTCAGTAAGCGCATAACCGACTCCAGCCAGTCGGCCAACAGTTGGCTACCAGTCAGGCATGTAATAAGCGACAGAACTGCCAAGAACCAGCAAGCACTAGTGAAGCGGTATGCACAGCTTCACAAGAGTCACGAAGAGTCTACCTACACAACGCATCAGTTGGATTGTTAGCTCGCATTGTTGTTTCAGTCCTTTGCCGATGAATACTACTTTCCAGCGGTAACTGTGAGTTTGTAGAGGAGAGCTACATACCCTCACTGGAGATTTTGTGAGAATGTTCATTTAACCGACCTTTATAGCAATAAAACAAATATAACGCTGGAGAATAATACGTCACTAATAAAGGTGGTGTGAATTAGACTCAGTTAGGTACGACAGAGCACCACCGTAAAACTTACGCTTCCAAGCCATAAGAATACAGGTGAAATTTTAAAAAAACTGGTTCTACTGGTGAGTTTGAACCTGGATCTCAGTTTCAGTTTCACTGAACACGGTTTCAGACGCCGAACCGGTGCAAAACTGACAGCTTAACAGTTGACGATAAGACGGAGGGAGAACACCGCTTGGTGACGCTGTTTGATTAAGCCGTTTTGAGATAATCCACCACTTTTGGCCACTGGTAGTTTCAGCACCGTTAGGCTGTTATTGGTGCACACAAAGTTGGTCTCGGTAAACTATATTGAGATTTCGCTGTGTTATTGCACCCTCTTATCCAAAATGCAGATAAACACGCCGGACCTCGCGCAATACGAAGTGGCGAGGAGGTCTACGTCAAACTTCAGTCGTCAGCTAATGAATCGGTGCATGAGTGTGTGACGTCGACAAGCCAAAACCTTATGGACATGTTGTTAGGGAGGACAATACGCTGTAATTTAGACCATATAAGAACTAGAAAGCATGGGCGAGATTTGGAACAAACACCGGAGTTGACAGCGCAGGTGGACTCCGGATTGAAGCAAGAGTTTGAGAACAGCTACAGATTCTCCAAAGTGCCTACGCCGATCAGCAAAGGAATCAAAGCTGGTCGAACGCTACTAAGCTGGAGTTGGTCAAATCTAGCGGTGACCGAAACTGCGGCAGCTACAACCACTGTACAACGAGTACGCGGTTAATACAGCTAACAATGATGATGGAGGAGTGTATTAGCCGTTTTGATGTGTCAGAGTTTGCGAGTGTCCCCATCCGTTCGTCAATCCACAATCGATCTGACCTGTGACCGTAGTGGTTGATTGGATACGTGTCCGATTGGTTAGCACGCCTGTGTGTCAACCCTTCAATACATCAGAGAACTGTTTGTGGGATTTCTGGACATGTGACTCAGTTGTTTACTTACCCGTTACAAGGCGGATCTGTTTAGCCCCCTGTACTCAATACACCCTTGTCCTTACCTACGTGTTTTCTGACTTACTTTGGACTGATAATGTACTCTAAGACATCAACGGATATTTATAGAAATTAACGAAAATAACACATGCATTGTAGGTATTGTGCAACCATCAACGATCATCAATCACAACAATGGCCAGCAAATTCTGAAGCTACAAATTGACATTGACAGGTTATCCATTCTTGGTTATCCAGAAATAAAATAACGGATCACCCTGGGACAAAGTCTGCGACTCCTCAACAAGCCATTTATGAATGACTCATTTTGCGACTAATAATAATCATTCAGCTGTAACACCCTTTCGGTGTCTAGGTGCCATGTCACCCAAAGGAAGTAAGAGGGGCTTGGATACTGCCAGATTGTCCAAGCCTAGACAGGGGAAGCCAAAAGACGACTAAAGAAACTCTACCCTCTGATCACTGTATAGCAAGTTTCTGGAACAAATGCACTCGGTTTCTACCGGAGCTGTACTTATTCAGACATCCATTAAGCTATTGAAAGTATATTTTGAGTGCAACGCCTGTGACACTTGCTTGCTGTTGCGTAAGACAAGTGAAAGACCATATGAGCTACCAGGCCCGTGGAAAGTTCACGCAACCAGGTAAGCTGCACTCGTGTGAGAGGATAACATTTCCACTATTGGACGTACATTTTCAAGCAGAGGCAAATGTATGCGTACGGACGGGTGAAGAACTTTATAGTGGTCTAACAAAGCTCACACTGACGTGTCGAGGCATTTTACTGGTTCCGGCCACGCTCAGAATGGTCAGCCGGATGGTAACACAGTGGCAGATTGGGGGGGACCGCTTAGCACGCAGACATTCTGGAGCTCAGGTATAACATCTTGATGATAAGATGTCCGAGTTTTTAAAAACGTAAATGACACCCAGGATTACTTTTTGATCTGTGAAATGCGACAGAATGTCAAATTTTGCCTTATCTAGTTCCTTTGCCTCTCTCACGAAACCTAGTTTCTCGTAACGTATACGATAACGACATGAACATACTATCCACAATTTGTAACTTATTGCACCCAGTAAACCAGGTGCGGAATTGAAAGTGTGACACACTTTCTTAATTTTTCCATCTATGCGGTCCTGATCAATAATCACTGTTAATCTTATGTACGCGTATGTTGGTAATGTGTTGGAATATTGGTAGCTCGGGTGTATTGGTTGGTAATTGATCAGGTGGCTGTTGATCTGTTCGCCGAGCTTGGCAATTGATTTGCAAACGTTTCATCACCACTCGAGTAGACATCTTCAGTGCGCACATCTTCAACGGCGCACTGAAGATGTCTCCTTGAATGGTGACGAAACGTTTGCAAATCAACTGCCAAGCTCGGCGAACAGATCAACAGCCACCTGATCAATTACCAACGTACGCGTATGTATTCAAAGTTAGTTCTATTCATATGATCATTTCAAAAATTTCATGCACGACATTAGGCAGGGTGCCAAAGCTCCTAAAGCTTTTGAGGTTCAGCCTCACCACAGTGTTTTCTGCGAGCAGCAGCTCCTCCATAAGAGATGACCTCTATGGCTCCTGCAGCACTCATTACCTAGTCGTTTTCACTTAATTCAAAAGCCAATCTATATGTCTGGTGCAGGATGAAATGTTCACAATCAAATAACCCAGCTCAGTAAATTAACTAACGACCATCTATGCTACCTGAGCTACCAACATTTTACGCGATAGCAAATACAATATCCAATATTTCAGCGATAATTTTCCTTTCACAGGTAGTTCACACCTTTCCAACCTTTTGTAACCATGTCTTTCCATAAGCTTTTATCAGTTTATACATTTTAGTTGAAATTGAACGCAAAAATTCATTTAAGGTGACATGTAAATCAATACTACGTTCTCACACAGACAAATTGTAGTCATTCTTGATTTACCTGTTACGAATTCCTCCCAACAGTTTCATGTCCTTATGCCATACATTTATTGATGTAGTTGCACTAATGTCAATTAAATGCTCTATTCCGAAATGGATTTTGTGAACTCACATGCGGCGGCCATCAGCAGCAAAACATGACTCCTCGAAAACGGACGGACAGCTTAACTTCTGGTGCGGAGAGTACCGCTCTATTATCAGCTTTAAAAAGCTACAGTACTTAGTCGGAAAGCGTAGTAGGCATCATGTGAAGATCATGCAAGAAGTGGGTGAGTGGTTACAAGATTGTTTTCCCTTCCCCGTCCACCTTTACTCTTTTCTTTACAGTAAGGATTTCAAATAAATCGTGGTTGTACGGCAGTGAAGCATCAGTGTTGAGCACTGATGTCATGCTGTCGATGATGATGATGATTGAAAGAACAGTTCAGGAACTTCTGGCTTAAGAAAAACGATAGAAGTTTGTCACCAAACACGTCTAGTGATTCCAGAGTGTTTGCCATACCGAGGTACCAAAACCTACAAAAACACTAGAGACCAGTCTGCCCTATGCGTTATAATCAGCGCTGGCACCTTGTAAAAAGATAAATAGTTTACTCACTCATCCATGAAAGCGTTTAAGGCCGTAAACCTACCGAGGCGACCAAAGCCCATTGACCATATGGTTCTCCCCGCATACCAACTAACCTCCAACACAGGTACACCATATCACTAACAGCTTTAGGTGAAGTGGGTAAATAATCGACCATCGGTCGTTCTGTAAAAGTTATGTATATTCCGAACACGCACTTCTTTCTGTTGCTTCCCGTAGCGTTGTTAGTGCGTGCAAAAGATGATCATACATTGCCTGGCCATTGAGAGGCCCTCGGACTCTGACTAAAAGCAAAATTACCTACTAAATCCCCTTTCGGACAATATGTTCTCCGGAATTGGCTCTTACTAGAAAGTACTTTCCAAAACCCTGCAAGATGTAAAGCACTCGGTTTGTGAGATGTCCCAATCAACAAGCAATGGATGGAGACGCCCGCGAAATTCTCAATCGGTTATCATCTAAATTGTTTACTTATATCTTGGCAAGAGAAATCAACCCTAGCGAATACGTCAGTGCCATTTATAAAAAAGATACTCGCAGTGAGTTTGGTTGTGACAGGGAAATTAGCCTCACCGCGTTGTAACCGGTATCTTTGCGTCGCTTATTTTATGTCCATCGTAAGCGCGTGAAGAAATCTGGCCGGGAGAAATTAGTGTAGACCACATTCACACACTCTGTCAAGTAACAGCATGTGTATAGATACCCTACAACAGTGATGTTCCCTGACTTCAAGGGTCCGCTTGACTGTGCTGATCGGTTCGTTCTACTCGGCTCGATTGCGCAACAGGGTATGCCCGTGAAGTCATGAATATTATGCGTTCTTCGCGTTCATGCACCCTTAGGTGCGCGAGAGCGCATGGTAAATCCTCCAAAACCTTTGACACAAACAGTGTTGTCCCACAAGAGGGTTTCGTTTCGCCGTTGACGAAACAATAATACAGACTATGGAAGATTTTCGTAACCTGAGTTCAGGTCTCGCCGAATGAAAACCCTGTCAACCCGGAGTATGCAGATAAGTGGTTTCGCTTATAATAAAGTATAAAGCTCGAGCACCCCTAGAAAACCTACCAACATTACCTAGTCTTTCAGTACGCGCTTTGTGCCAACGGAGCACATCGTGTCATAGAGTAGTGGAACATGCCACTAGGAATCCAAGAAATGCTCCTGAAAGTTGTGAGACACCATGTGCATATCCAATGTTGCATTAACTCTGACGGTAGTGTGACAGACGAAGTAAACTCCATGATACCAAAGGCTAAAAATGCACTTGGCAGTTTACGCCGCTTGTCGGCTGGAATCACCGAGTTTGCAATAAAGTGCTTAGGAGGTGGCTGTTTGATGAAGAAGACACGTCACTCAGGTATTACACTCAGCACTGCAGACCAATGGGGTGGGCCTTATGCTAAGTGTATCGCGTTACCGTCTTCCGAGAAGAGCACTGTCTACAGTGCCTAATTTGGAATGGTGTGAAACTTGGTGGCGGACATGATGAGTCATCATAATCGACAGCATAAATTCAGTGTTCAACACTAATGCTTCGCTGCCATACCACTTATTAATTTGAAAGCATTATTGTGAAGGAAGAGATAAAAGTAAAAGGACAACATAGCGCTAGCCTATCACAATCATTTCAAGATGACTACATCGCCAGACACTCATTAAGACAATCTGGATAGAAACTGACAACAAGAGCGCCATTGACTTCGATCAACAGCCACATCTTGCGGCGTCTCCAACCAAGCACAGTGGGGATCACGCGCTCCCAACCTTGGAAGGCGAGTAGAACCGACGGTCATCATCTTTATAATACCTCTCTTCCAGATCAGGGGTTGTCTTCCGCTACTCCAGATTTAGCACGAAGAACAACACCCTCTTGGACAGAAGACGGCTCAACATACGTAATACATGGCTTAACCAATACAGCTTCTGAGGCTAGACACATCCCTCGATGAAAATTCAGTTGCACAGCCGAAAACTAGCATTCTAATCGACTGGATAACTATTCGCTGACATCAACCCACACGAGATGTGCTTCTGGGATAAGTTGTTGAACAACTAAAGAAGTCTCAGTTCAGCTGCTTGAAAAGGCCAAGTCTTACAGCCCCACAACAAAGTAGCCCACATTATAGCCTGATAAAAACGTCCATTGAGACTCAAGAGTAAACCAATCTGACGCGACAGATACCTCAAATCAGCCGATGCAAACCGAACCTTGCAGATCCATGGACTGACCTCATCTGTCATACTACCACCAAAACTGATAGAACTTCCAAGATACGTAAAACGTTCATACTATCACTTTCTATCCAGATTATCCGACTAAGTGTTGTAGTGTACACTCCTCGGATTTATTTGGTAGACTAACCCTAGATTACGCTCCCTGTCTAATTATTCCATTATAAGGGTTCTGCGGCAGTGAAGTGCGTGTTCTAATGTGACGTTGCTATTAACGATGATCACCAAAGCCAGCTGAGTTAGTTCATGCCCACAGTGTCCTTTTCCCGGCAGGTTGATCTCAAATTCGACGACTGGGACGATTCCAGATAGTTCAACTTTAGCGACAACCAGAGTTAAGTGCGTTCCAGGTATTTCTTATTCAAGGAACATATTTTTCCAGCAATAATTACCGCGACTCCCTCAGAGGTCATAACACGGCAGGGGACCGTAACTCTGAGGTCGGAAATTTTCCTTATGAATTTAGACCTTTGGTGTTTTCATCAGTTGAGACTTCTGTACACCAATAAAACAGCTACCGTCAAAGCTCTGAAGCAAAAAAACAGTCAGTACGCATGCAACATATGAGCTATTCTCACGAAGAGAGATCCTGTGACAGTCGCAGAAAGTAGAAAAAGACGTTATTTCAAATTGAAACTCATCAGCAACGTATTGCTATTAGCTTAGCTATTTAAATGCACCTCGGACAGAGTTGTAATATAGCCCAATGCATAGTGACCGCCGTTAACTGGCAAATGCAATTACCAAACGTTGCTAGAACGAAATAGTCCTTTGAAAACAATGCTTCGTATCAACGTACCAATCTTTTGCACATTAGCTTAAAATACCTCTGGAGTATTTCGAGGGTGCATGGTTCTTGCTCGATAACCATTTTTTGGAAGGTGTACTTTGACTTCTGGAGCTCTGTAGAACGTTCCGCGAAAAGCGTCAAAATGATCTGTTATTGGAGAAATTGAACAGAAATAAACCGTTACATTTCCATTTTCACATTCCTTTTCACTCTCTTCTATTAGTTGACGTAAATTTTCCGTTTCTTTTTCAAGACAAAATTGCGCAACAAGACACTTTTGTGAAATGGATATAAACGCCGATCGCTCCACTATACTTTGCTTCGTCAATCTTCGATGAGATGTTCGCACAGCAGCTTCTAACATTAGAAAAAAGAGCGCCTACATATTTCTGTAGGTTGTACTTCAGGGGAAAAATGACTGATATATTTATGGAGCATCATATTCTCAACCTGTAGTCTTTCCAAATCTTCTCTGATACATTAGGCGGATGGACCAGAAACAACCCACTTTTTGCGGTGGATTCTTTGTTGCATTTCCGATAATCCCACCTTGTCCGCTGTTGCGATTCGGAACACGTTTTCCGCCCCGAGGGCCATGGCGACAGTCAAAAGTGCGTCTGGCGTTTGTGACCTTGAGCATACAATTGCCTATGCAACCACTGGTGGGTAATTTGGTTCAGGGAAAAATGACTGATATATTTATGGAGCATCATATTCTCAACCTGTAGTCTTTCCAAATCTTCTCTGATACATTAGGCGGATGGACCAGAAACAACCCACTTTTTGCGGTGGATTCTTTGTTGCATTTCCGATAATCCCACCTTGTCCGCTGTTGCGATTCGGAACACGTTTTC